ATAACATCTTTATAAATACCCATTCGTTTATTATCAATGATATCACATGATTGTAATTAATAATCACTGATATTCTTGTAGCATTGATTATGATGTTTTTCTAACTAAATACAACATTATAATCAGTCCATAACCGGTAGATTTGAATGATGATAATAATTTAGGGAAGTGTGTGTTGTCTCTGATGTGATATCTTCGAATCTAATTAATAATAATAAAAATAAAGAAAGAAAAGAATAAATTAAGAATGAATAAAAATAAAAGAAAATAGAATAAATGAATTCATAATTGTTTATCATTCATTATATCATTCATTTTATTCATATTTTATTTCTTATTATTTAATGTTTTTCATAATAAACATCAATTAATAAAAATAGAATGATGATAAAGAATAAAAAAGAAGAAATTAAAATATAAAAATAAAAGAACTAATAAAAACAACTAATAAATAATAAATCAATAATGAAATTAGGATATAATGAAATAATGATAACATCAAAATATTTTAATGACATTAAAGATTTTATTAATTTAGAAATAGGAGTTAAAAGATTTCAAGGAAATATTGAACGATTTCATTTTAATCCAATTCCATTAAATGAATATTCAAGAAAATTATTTCCTAATATTGAAACATTTCATATTTATAATGAAAAAGATGAAATATTTAATGATGGAAAAATATTTAAATATGTAATATGGTATCCAGTAGATTATTTAACATATTTATTCAAAAAAGAACAAGGAAATATCTGTAAAAATATAGAATATACAGAAAAAGATAGAAAGAAATATGGAACTACAATACCATCAGAAATCAAATCACTCAGAGAATATAGTTTTAAATATTAGAGTCAATTAACACAAGTTACAATACCAACAATAAATAAAGAATTAAAAGATAATTGGTTTTGGGATGTAGGTCATTAACAAATATTAACATTCTAACAATAAATAATACAAATAGAATATATTAATTTATAATAACGTTCATTATTAACATCAATTCCTTTAGAAAAATTAAAATTCATAAATGAAAAGAATATTTTATAATGAACCAGCATTAGTTAGTATTGAATTATTGTAGAGTTTAAAATTAATGAATGGAAGAGAAATTGAAAAAACAATTATTAATGAATTTATTATTCCAATTACAATTAGTTAAATAAGTAATAATTGTTTGTGTAAATGTACTTCATTATTTTCCATTAATATTCATTTTTCAATTTATAAATTAGTAAATGAATACTTTATTAAATGTTC